GGTCACATCCGATGTGGAACGATTGGAACTGAAGAAATCATAGCCGCGATAGATGCGATAGCCTCAACAAACTCATGTAACACCGGCCCCCAGCAATCCTCCTGGATTCATCCCAAGTCAGGATCACAGGATTTCCAGGACCTGGAATCACCTGTCTTGAGAGTGGTCGAGTGGTGTATGTGTGGTGTATGTGTCTGCAAGTTTCCGGGTACATGGAGTCCTTTTTTTCTTTGGCTCCACAGTGCACCACACTGAGCTCACAGTGAAACAACACATCGCGCAGTTCTGGTGGAACTGGGCCACCGCCACACAGTTCTGGAAGTGACAGGTCTTTGGCGATGCTACTTCTTTCACAGGTCTCATAAGAAAGACTTGCAAAGGGAAGGGTGTGTTGCAGGGGTTTAGTAGTACTCTCGCTGTGATGAGACATTGGCATCGTGTAGGATAGGCTCCAGTCGACCCTATGGCATGCTGGTTCTCCAATTCCCATGATGCGCCTTCCACCCAAAGTCTGCGGACTCCAAACAAAACCTGTTTGCCATTTTCAGAAGACCAGTTGACTGATCTCTTGTGAATTATATAAATGCTTGATCTCTCATATATCTCATCTAAATATATATATATATCCGTACTCGGGTACTATTCTGTGGTTATGAAAGTCTCAGGAAAGCTCGCATCACCCCCAATTCATGGCATCCGCTCTGCGGCCTCGGCCTCTTGTTGCATGAGCCGCTGGAGATTCTTCTGCGCATGCTCTGCTGCACGGACCTACCGAACGCAGGACGATGAACGTGGAACCATGCACCGATGAACGATGCTGTTCGGACGGACTTGCGACACGGGGGCCTGGAAAAAATGAAGCGATGAACGAGGGGGCAACCAGCCACTGAAGAACTGGACAAGAGGCAACTGCCGGGCAACTCGTGATCCGTTTGCAGTTGACAGCCACCAAAATCGCCAAATAGAGGGTGGTCAGTCTTAGCTTTTCCCCGCTCTCTTACTTGTAGAATCCTTCAGCAGCCACGTCCCAAACCGAGACTCCTTCCATGTTCTGAGACTTACCGACTTCCATCCCTGAAATATATAAAGATTAAAGAACCAAACTTTCCACCTGTTTGTTTATGGTGAGGTTAAAGGTTGTCCACTGATAGGACCAAACGTCCTCAGTCACCTGGTTTTCTCCCGCCCAGTCCCATGTTTTCTCCCCTGACCATTTCACCCGGTGAAAGACTTTGCAAAGGCGGATCCTTCTTCGTCACGTGATCCTTCACCCAGAGTCGATCGAAAAATGAGTGAAGCACTCGTGGATGAAGGTCGAAGAAAGTGAAAATGAGTGACGATCAATGTAAAAAAGACTTCATGACCCACACAGGGTCCTGTTGGAAAGTGGACAGTAAGAAAAGCTGCTTGGTTTCAGACTACTTCAACCAAACCAGATGTGGTGCTGCTCTGGGTTTCCCTCACACGGCCACGCCACTCCGTCTGCAACGCTCCGCTGTCCCTGGCCAGAGTGTGGACCCGCCCGGTGCACAAAGCTCCCCTCGGCTGTTGGTTCAGGAGATGCTTCTGCTCTTCGGAAAAACTCTGGACAGTAAAACCGGTGCGACTCGTATAAGGAATGAGCTCCCCAATA